TTATGCACAGTGCTGGATTTACACTAGGAGCACAAGGGGTTAGTGCTCAGGGCGGAAAATTCCCGGGGCGAAAAATTCGGGACTGTTTTTGAGCTACCAAAAAAATATTTAAAAAAAGTGTTCATTTATCTTAAAAACAGTCGACCTTACAGGCCACCCCTCAAATTTATCGTTGTTTTCAAGCTCAAACTGTTTCAAATTAATGTTTTTTAATATTTGGGCAGAAATATCTTTTAAATGAATCAACCAGTCGAGGTACATCCACAGCAAACGTTAACGTTTGAAAAGCACAAACAGGTAGCTGAGTACCAAATCTCGCTTTCACTGGGAATTCGAATTTCGTTTTAATAGAAGAAAAACTTTTCATCAACAATATTCTTGAACGGATCAACTCATTTAAGAACTCAAAACATCAAGATCTGATGAATACTTGATTTTCGTATATAGGCCTGAAATCAATAACTTCTAAATTTTGAAAAGTTCATGGTTTTTATAGTGGAAAGCCAAAGGTATTCTGTACTTTCATCCATTCTGTGTTGAATACGTGTAATGGGGAGGCATTTCTTACTGTGCTCAGGGCAGCACTAAGGGAAAATCCGGCTCTGCCCGTTCAAGGCCATCCTGCAATCTACGGTTTATCTCATAAGGATTACGACAATCACCCAGTAAAACAATATCTGTATAATGGATGTACTCAAAACCGTTTCACCTTCTGGATTCTCTTCTTCATGCATTTTAAAAGAATGTACGTGGAACAAACTATCACAACATCATCGTAGTTTTGATCCATTTCACTTACTGACACACATATTTTTGCTGATGGTACAATGCAAAACGACACGACACGTAGGCGGTAGGAACACGACATGAGCGCTATACTAATCATAAAAACTGATCTTGATCCTAACATATCCATTTCATATATGTTAATATTCTTGAAATTTGAGCGTTCCTGCTACTCCTCGAATCATTTGCAATAGGTTTTGCTGACAACATTTATGATATTCAGTAAGAAATGTCAAATGCAAATGGAACATAAAAAGTGTCTTCTTTATATAGGGAAGATTTATAATCTGACAGGCTACTTGTGTTTTTACTTTTTGGTATGCTTTTTTACGATTGTTACGATTTTGGCTTTTATAATCTTAGCTACTCTGTGACGTACATTTTTATGCTATGATCATAGGACTTTTGTCGTTATCATAAAGCGCTACGGTTGGAGCATTTGGCTCTCAGATTTTGTTGTATTGACTATGAAAGAAATTGACGTTTTTACTGTTAAATACAAGACAGTTGCTTTTCACAGATTTTTATCAAAACAAAACTCTTGCTATTTTTATATACCAAGACGGTACGGTGGTGTCCAGGTAGGTACATGGTACTAATGATTAAAAACTGATACAAATACCAATAAATGGTGCATCTAATATTACTATGCGACGGCTTTTATTCTATTCTATGTATTGTNGTTAAAAAATAAAATATAATGAATTCATGATGATGTGAAACTGCCAGAGCAAAATAATTTTAACATAATAATAACAGATGAAAGAATTATTTTCAAGTTAACTTTCTCTTTTACCAGGAAATAACCAGATGGCAACGGTAACGGTACGCGAGTTTTAGACAAATGACCGAGCGTTGTCAAAGGAATGAAACTCACCACAAGAAGGAAAAAAAAAATTTTAAAGTACCTCCAGAACAGTCTCGGCCCATAATTTCATAAAATTTTCTTGGGATCAAATTCAATAACAATACTGAAAGGTTTTTTAAGTTTATATGCAAACTAATGACTGAGATTGCAATAATTCATTAGCAAATCATTTTTTGTGTAAATTCCAGACACTTTACCATAGTGTTATGGCAGAAAGTGAGACAACAAAGTGTAAAACAATGCGATTTGGATTTGAAATTTCGGGGTCACTATTCATCCATGTTAAGTAGAATGCCATAGTGACAATCAAATGTCTTTTTCAGGAATTTCCATTAATTAAACCTAAGACGCACAGCAAACAAACTCACTTAACAATACTTAAACGAGCCCAGATTGCAACGTTATTAGATGAGACGTGTTCTTAAATTCCTTGTTTTGGATGGAATAATCCCTATAGAAAATTATGCGAAGCTGTCAAAAGTTTACGGAGACTATGTTTCTTCCATGTCAGTCGTTAAAAACTGGGTCGCACGTCCCTTTAAAAAGTTCGTGTTGGACTACAGGCGAGCGAAGGCGAGGGAGATAGCTAAGGCTGTGGGGATATCAGAAGAAATAGTGCGAAATATCTTGCACAATGAATTATGGATGTGAAAGCTCTACGCAAGATGGGCGCTGCAATTTCTGAATGTGCAAACATATTCGCAGCAATGTTTGGATCGACTCAATGGGGATCCGATTGACTTTGTGCAGCGATTTGTTACTATAAATGAGACATGGTCTACCACTAGACGCGATGGTCGTTTTGAAAACATAATACAACGACCACAGCTAACCCTGGTCAGTAGCGTACTTTGAAGGGCAGTTATCATTAGTGACACCACTAATGCTCATATCGTGTTCTTGCCTCCTATCCGCAATTTTACATTAAATTACGTGAAAAAAAAACATGTTTATTTTCTCTAGACCTATCGTGTTTCTGTCGTGCTGCTATCATGTCATAACTGTCAATCAATCAAACCATCAATCGCTTAGGGATGCGATTCGCAACAGGCGACCGGACCACAACACGAGTATAGTAGCAATACGATGGGTTTAATGAAAACTGCAATAGACAAATAGGCACCCACGAGACGCATTACGATGGCTGACGGACGCTTACAAGAGGTTTGGCTATCAAAAGTTGCTGACGAAAGTAGTCGAACAACGAAACAACGAAATACATCGTGAGAATACATGGTTAGTGACTGAGCGACGTAGGTGAGTGATGAATGCGCTACCATGGACGAAGAACTATGTATTCTTATGCACAGTGTTGGATTTACATTAGGAGCACTAGGAGTTAGTGCTCAGGGCGGAAAATTCCCGGGGGCGGAAAATTCGGGACTCTTTTTGAGCTAACAAAAATGTTTAAGAAAAGTGTTCATTTATCTTAAAAAAGTCGACCTTACAGGCCATCTCTCAAATTTTTCGTTGTTTTCAAGCTAAAATCGTTCGAAAGCATACATATTTACATGTAATTAAGTTCGTGAAGCCAAAAATTCGATAACTGTTTCAAATTACTGTTTTCCAATATTTGGGCATAAATATCTATTAAATGAATCAACCGGTTGAGGTACGATCCACAGCATTTGTTAATGTTTGAAAAGCACAAAGAGATAGCTGAGTACCAAATCTCGATTTCACTAGGAATCCGAATTTCGTTTTAATAGAAGAAAACCTTTTCATCAACAATATTCTCGAACGAATCAACTCATTTTATGAACTTAAAACGTCAAGATGTGATGAATACTCGATTTTCGAATATCGCTTGAAATCAATAACTTCCCAATTTTGAAAAATTCATGGTTTTTACAGTGGACAGCCAAAGGTATTCTGTACTTTCATCCATTCTTTGTAGAATATGGGTAATGGGGAGGCATTTCTTAGGGTGCTCAAAGGAAAATCTGGCTCTGCCCGCTACTGTTTATCTCATAAAGATTACGACAATCATCTAGTAAGACAATATCTGTATAATGGATGTACTCAAAACCGTTTCACCTTCTGGATCCTCTTCTTCATGCATTTTAAAAGAATGTACATGGAACAAACTATCACACGAGCACGGTGCGAATACGGTCGTATAATAAATGCAAAACGACACAGACGAAGGCGGTAGGAACACGACATGAACGCTATACTAATACTAACCTTGATCCTAACATATCCATTTCATGCGTTAATATTTTTGAAATTTGAACGGTCCTGCTACTCCTCAAATCATTTGCAAAAGGTTTTGCTGACAACATTTATGATATTCAGTAAGAAATGTCAAATGCAAATGGAACATAAAAAGTGTCTTCTTTATATAGGGAAGATTTATAATCTGACAGGCTACTTGTGTTTTTACTTTTTGGTATGCTTTTTTACGATTGTTACGATTTTGGCTTTTATAATCTTAGCTACTCTGTGACGTACATTTTTATGCTATGATCATAGGACTTTTGTCGTTATCATAAAGCGCTACGGTTGGAGCATTCGGCTCTCAGATTTTGTTGTATTGACTATGAAAAATTGACGTTTTTACTATTAAATACAAGACAGTTGCTTTTCACAGATTTTTATCAAAACAAAACTCTTGCTATTTTTATATACCAAGACGGTACGGTGGTGTCCAGGTAGGTACATGGTACTAATGATTAAAAACTGATACAAATACCAATAAATGGTGCATCTAATATTACTATGCGACGGCTTTTATTCTATTCTATGTATTGTGATGTCGAAGAAAGCATTTACATTCTGATCCATGACACCACTTGCCCTCCCCCCTCGCTTCGGCACTGATGAAAGGCTAATAATTGTATTACAAGCAGAAACAGGAGTAGAGAAGGATAGAGAATGACCTATATTAAATTACTTTTTTTAGAGATAGGGAATGTTCTAGTCTTAGAAAAAAAAGGGAAGATTGAACCAGTATATAAAGAAGTTTACAAACAATACAGAATGATAATAAAANCATTTTCTTAGAAAAAGGTAAGTATGTTTTCTGTGGACTTTGATAAAAATGTTTAAAAACATCCGATCCTAGCTAAAATTACTTGCCAACCCCTGATCTTGAAACTCACACACTGGTCAATGCAATAATATACATTATTATGTACTGACCCATAACACGGCTTTTATTCTATTCTATGTATTGTAATGTCGAAGAAAGCATTTACGTTCTAGTTCATAACACCACCTGCCCCCCCCCACGCTTCGGCACTGATGAAAGGCTATGTATTACAAGCAGAAACAGGAGTATAGAAGGATAGAGAATGACCTATATTAAATTAATTTTTGTAAATAGTTAGAGATACGGAATGTTCTAGTCTTGAAAACAAAAAGGGAAAATTGAACTAGTATATAAAGAAGTTTACAAACAATACAGAATGATAATAAAATTTCTTACCTGAGATGGCTAACAACATTTTTCTGCGTGCTCCAAACGCATGTACTCCTATCCCTACCAAATCTTCGTCTGTTAAGGAAGAGAAAGTTGCTAAGTCAACTTCATGAGATTCAAAAATTCCTATATACTTTTCCAAGCCCAGTGATGCTAACAAAGATGGCAAGTCTCGCCATTTAGAATTGGTGATTCGATTTACTACATTTGTAGGGGTATTTTCCGTGATGTTGCTAATGTTCATTAAACCTGAAGAAGCACATGGTTGGGGCTGATCAATTTGAGCTGAAGGTGATTTCCAAATATTTTCCTTCTGGAAAATAAGGACGAGATTCTAGCACGTAACAAACATAGTATCGTACAAATCTAATTCTTTAGAGGCCCATAATATTCAAATGATGTAAATGGGTGTGCTATTTTAGAACTTTACAAAATGCAAAAATATATAAACTATGAAACTGGTTGTATGTGAAATGAATTTGTAAACTCTTTAGAAATACTATTCAAGTGAACTACATTTTTAGCATAGGTGATTTAATTGCGCCATAAATGCCAAATTAAACAGAACTGTTACTTGTAGTAAATTATAAAAAACAATCCAAAACTAGTAACGTTGAGAATCATCAAAATCGACTAATTTTGTGGTTTTATTACTGTTAATCAGTCGGTTTTTTCAGCTACAGTAAAAGTTCCTTATTCACGGTTTCCTTATTCGCGGGTGAAAAAATTGCAACCCAGTTCCTGTATTTGCGGCTAAAAATTTCATTATTCGCAGATGAAATCGGTAAACAGAAAAGGATTCGGTGTTATTTTTCAACGTATCGGCATCTTTTGAGTATTGTTGGCTTGTGCCGAGGCGACTTTTGTAAAAGATGTAACCGAGTGGACTAATTTCAAAATTCAAAACAAGAAAAAAATCACTAAATGTTTTAAACCCTTGCCTAAAGCTGATTATAACTATTAATTTTAATTGCGAATTTCTCAATAAATTGATTTTATTNTATAAATGTAATTTAAAGTAAAATTAGTGTGACTTCTGTTGTTGCAGATTAGATGACAAATAACATACTGTATGTTAGGGTTGTAAGATGTTACTTTTAGCAGAATGCATACTGAACTGGAGTCATCTGTCAAACGGTTTCTATCCGAGTTTTTAATGTTATTCATCTCTGAAAATAATGACGCGGAGGCATAGGTTGATGAAAACATTGTTAAAATAGCATAAGCCAGCTTCTTCAAGTAATTACATGTGTTTGGTAACGCACTCCATGTTTTCAAAATGTTGGTAACATTTTCTTCATTTTCTTTCAGTTTCAATTATTTCTAACTCTTGACTTGTTTCAACAAATTTTTGAATCCATATTGAACTAGCCTGGCAATCAATCAGCTGCATTTCAAATTCTTCAATTTGCTACCCATTGAATTGGGACAAATTCAGTTTATCAAATGACGTCACATCAGGGTACATAATAAACTTGAGTATTTCCGATAATTCTCTGAACTGAGAAAATCTCGCTGAAAATTCCTTGATTAAAGAATTAATCATAGAAACAAATTCTTCAGTAACTTGGTCTACGTCTGGTTTCTCATGTATTTCTAAATTCTTGTATTTTTTCAAATTTGAAAATTACTTGTAGATTCTTGTGATGATGTCATTCCTGAAAACTGACAGTTTAGCCTTAAAACCACAAATGACATCTTTATGCCTTGAAGCTTCACTCGGGGTTGCTCATCATATAATATCTACTTCAGACTTTTTTTCGTAGTGCATAATGAAATTTGTGATTGATATTAGTGTTGTGCCCAAAATATTGTGTTGCGTGCCACTAATGGCACGCGTGCCATTGGTTCGCCATCCCTGAGATGTGTAAGTGTGATAATCTTTCTTTTACACTCTTAAGGATTTCATAGATCATATTCGGGGACTTAATCAATGCTTTTGTTCAGCATTCGTTCAACTTGTATTGTCAATCTGTGTTTGTATACGTGGTGTTTCTGTAGCAACAAAATAGCAAGCTTTATAGGGTGTTAACTAAATGTAAGAGGCAATCGCATGGTGAGTTGAGCAGTGTGGCAAAAGGTCAAGAACAAGGGTCGGCAACTGGCCCACAGCGGTCCAGGTCCGAACAGCGAAAGGTTGAAAACTAGACCGTCAAAATTTTTGGAAAGTAAATTACTCAAATAAATTATTTAAGACGTATTTTTCAACAACGTTTTAGCTTTGATCACCACCCTTATCATTTTCTTAGAAAAAGGTAAGTATGTTTTCTGTGGACTTTGATAAAAATGTTTAAAAACATCCGATCCTAGCTAAAATTACTTGCCAACCCCTGATCTTGAAACTCACACACTGGTCAATGCAATAATATACATTATTATGTACTGACCCATAACATTAACACACTGACCTACCGTCAATGACTTCGACTGACTACACACATGCAAGCCTACAGCATTAGCTTGGTACTTATTTCAGAAACACCCTATATAGGGATGTTTAGTTGTGGTGAGTAGAAATTATATTTAATGTGCCTAAGAATTCCCTAATACTGAATGTAGTTTTGAAAATAACCAGAAAGTGCAATTAGCTTCTGTTTCTGAGTGTCGGAAGAGGAAAACGAGATAACTCTCGAAACATCAAGTGATCTGTACAGATGAAAGGACGAATAGCTAGCAAGTAACCGAAGCTAATTAGCAACAAATATCTCAGTAATAGCTCAAATATATTAGTATAAATTAGAAGAATTTAAAATTAATTTCTAAAAATAGATTATCAACTATCTTACCTCTTGGCTGGCACTTGTGTCAGTTTGTATGACACCAGGGCTAGTATGACTTATACCATATCCAGACCACGTACTAGTTGGTACTCTGTACCCTGTCGAACGAGACTGCATAGCTCTAAAACCAGCCAATCGTCTCTGTTCATAGTCATGTAGTGGATATTGCGGAAAAGTAGTATCCTGTCTTTTGTTAACTGTAGGTCCATGGTAACTTCCTGACATGTTCATTTCTGATAGTACGGATGACAATTCTAAATTGAATTCAGAATTAATTAATAAACAATTACCACAATTGTAAAAAATGGTTGTTACGACAAATTTGAAGAAAGGAGGAGAACCGATGAAATGTTCTCAAAAATGCATTTGAAATAGGAATTGTAAAATATGTTTTCTCCGAATGCATTTTAAAATAAAATGTCTCTTTCTATTGTTGCTTGCTAATAAAACTAATCTCCTGTTTATTATAAAGTTTATGAAAAGTTTCTACAGAGAAAACGCGGGTAATTTGGTTTCTAAGGTAGCGACACCTATTCATATAGAATAATACTAACTACATAAACAATAATAGCAGTAATTAAAATTGTAATCATAACTAAATCATTGCCCTAAAAAAATGTTATTCGACGAAAAATATATCTTCTGGAATTGAGTTAAATCGTATTATTCAATCAGAATTTTGACATCCCTTTATCCTTATATCCACTGTGATGGAATAATCCACCATGATGACTCGATTATCATGAATACGACATAGGAAGAACGAGCACAAATAGAACACTTGACAAAATTGGTCTAAATATTTTTCCAAATAAGAAGGCTCTAGTATTTCATAGTTACCGACGTGATGTATGTATAAATACAAATGTGCATGGAAAGTGACAAAATCAATATCTAAGATCTAAAGACTCAAAATCCACGGGAATGAGAATAGAACGTTACGCTAAAATTTCAATAAACTATTTAAGTGCTGATCGATACACAATAATTTCAGTTAGTCTTTTGCTAATACAAATAGATTTGATGGTTTCCCCACACGTTAGGAGGCGACATATAGTATAGTTGAAAACTTAGAAAGCTGAAGTTACCTTTTTGGTTTTGACTGTACAATTTACTTAAAATCTTCCATACTCCGGGAAAAATAGTGATAGAAATTTTGGTCGGGCTATATTCTAATCCGATTAGAGTTCACTTTTCACAAATTACAGACAGTTAGCCAAATTTCATAAAGATTGGTTAAGTAGTTTCGGAGTTTATACCGGGCAAAACTTGTGATACCAGATTTTTATATATATGGACTTCCTTGGATTACTTAATTGTTAGCCATAATTGGAAAAGCTTTTGGCCTAGAAATTTCAATGGTGGGTCATAACAACCATAATAATTCGTTACCTATGGAATAGTAGCGCCTTCTTATTTGGGAAAATATTTGCATATTGGAGTTTGTTCTTGTTGTGTAATTTCCAGATTTCCTATGGAGTAAAAGTAAAAACTAGTAGGAGGTCATTGTGGTTTCCACTTGTAATGAGCATTTCTTTTAATAAAAAACGAATTTATATGTATCTTAGGTGAAAATATTTTAAATATATCCTGTTTCTGATAAAGATAATAATATCGACAGTTAAGTGTTTTATTTTTCCAGTTTATATCGACGTTTTTGACGCCCCCTTAGTGTCCTCAGGAGATTTTCTTGCGGAGAAATTAGATTTAGGGTCGAGAGAATTAATTTGTCAAGCATTTTAGTTTAAAGTTTAAATAATAAATACCAGTTCGCTCTAAAGGTGAGTCATTGGAGTTTCTTTGTTTGTAGCACGGAGATACATTTTTCGGACTTGCAATTGGGCTCGCCACTGAACCTGAGCTTGATATTGAGGAATGGGCTGTATTGTCCTTGTTTGGATCAGTAGAGCAGGAATTCGCCGACAAGTACCTTAAATGTAAGGATTGATTTTTTATTTTATGGTAAAGATGAAAAGGAAATTTCTAATTACACAATTTAACATGTTTTAAAAAGATCATAGCTTCCTCAAGAATTAGTCGTTTTTGAATTTTGTTATAATATCTGAGATGTGGGATA